AAAAAAAGCCATTCCTGTTTTCAGATTTTTATCAGACCAGACACCTGACAGAATATCTATGGAGCCAATTTACAAGTCCAGGTCCATTTTTATGAATTGGCCAATTAAAGAACAAAAAAAAAAAACCCCAAAAAACCACCACACAAAAACAACACCCCCAAAAAAGCCAACATCCTTCCTTAAACTTGTTAATCCCTTCAACTGTATATTTATAAGAGCCAACACTACTAGAACAGAGCACTGAAATAATAGCGAGTGTTTTATCCAGAACTTACCCATATTGCCAGCTTAGCTTTATTTCCATCAACTGAAATAGTTTTCACCTTGAAGTCAACACCTGGAAGAGCAAAAAAAGAAGAAAAAAAATACAAAAAATAGAAAAAAAGTCTTAGATTTTCTTACAAGTGTGCACCACTTTTTTTAATAAGCTAAAGGAAGAAAACTGCAGCTTAGAACTGAAGCTGTACTTTGCGAGAACAAGTGGAATGGACCAAGGTATTTCTCATAATTACTATTTGTCCCCTTCCACATAACCTTCTGAACTTCCAGATTCAAAGCAAATCCCAAAATATGGGATTATGCATAAAAATTGACTTAAAGATTCTAGGAACAGAAATTGCAGGTATTGCATTTCTTCCAGGAAGTGGGGTACTAACGATATTTAATATTATTTAAAATGCACTCCATGCTTTCTTTCCTTCTAGGTTTGTTGGTTGTAGGCCTTGTTTGTCTAAGGGCATATATAGGCAGACAAGGTTCTTTGGGTAAATGTGGTATCTCTTATTAGACCAACTAAGTAGTTGGAAAAATTGTTCTTTGCAAGCTTTTTAGTACAAAAGAAGGATGTTTGTACCCAGAAGCTTGCAAAGAACAATTTTTCCAACTACTTAGTTGGTCTAATAAGAGATACCACATTTCCCCAAAGAACCTTGTCTGCTGCTTTCCTTTTACACATTTTGCTCCACTTTACAATTTCAAATTTCTAGCTTTTCTTGTGTACATCAGCTATTCCAAAGCTGAATTTAAATCAAGCAGTTTTAACTAAAGACTCCTATAGTTTTAACAAAAGACTCCTATACTGCGGGGGGGGGGGGCGCGGCGGCGCGGCGCACAGGAACAACCCACAAACAAAACCAAGAGGCCATTTGAGATCATTAAGTATTGCTAAATCAAACTCTCAGCTTGCCACTCCCAAGATTATCAAAAGCAACAAGGCGGAACTGGAATAAGTGGCTATGATACTATGACTCGCATTATACAAAGTCATCATCTAGTTTGATCTCAATAGTCTTTTCTGGCCTTAAGTACTATGATAGTTTTACAGAGTTTTCAAAGACCACTCAGATAAAACAGTAAAGAATCTGGAAGAATACTGGTAATTCCACATCTTCCTAAAATACTACACACCCTTCTTTTATATATGCACCTTGTTTTTGGTAAGCAGAATAAAGAAAAAAAAAGATTTTTTCCAGAATTACCTGTATAGGGCAGGGACAGGAACTAATCTTCAGCTGCCTCACCCTCCCTTTCCTACTTAACTAAAGCTGAAAACTTAGCTGCTACTGAAGACTGGTCTGCCATGCTCAGTTCGATTTAGAACAATCCTAAAAATAATACTGTCTGATTTTCAATAGTTTGGCACCAAACTCTGCTCTTATGATTCTACTTTCTAATGGGAAAGCAGATACTGCTATGCAGTTTAGCAAATGGCACTTTTGAGAAGAACCACTAAGGGAGTGAACATGGACTTGTCATTTTAGAACAGAGAAACGTACAGATTTTCCACATTTCCAAAGAGTTCTCTGCAGGCTGACAGAGCAGCTACCACAGACAAGGTGTACGGGGGTGTGTGTGCGCGCAGACAAGGTGTGTGTGCGTGTGTGTGTGT